GGCCTAAAAGATGTTCTGTACAGAAATGCAATAAAAGCTAATGGAAGGTGGGTGCAGTGGCTCACGTCTGTAAACTCAGCACTTTGGGAGGCTGAGGTGGGTGAATCACTTGAGGTCAGGAGTTTGAGACCAGTCTGGCCAACATGGTGAAACCCCATCTCTACTAAAAATAGAAAAATTAGCTAGGCATGGTGGCATTTGCCTGTAATTCCAGCTACTGGGGAGAATGAGGCAGGAAAATTAATTTAACGTGGGAGGCAAAAGATCGCATCACTACATCTAGGCTTGGTGACAGAGAGAGACTCCATCTCAAAATTTAAAAAAAATTTTAAAAATAGGCTGGGCACAGTGACTCATGCCTGTAATCCTAGCACTTTGGGAGGCCAAGGTGTGTGGACCACAAGGTCAGGAGTTAGAAACTAGCCTGACCAACATGGTGAAACCCTGTCTCTATTAAAAATTCAGAAAAAAAAAATTAGCTGGGTGTGGTGGCGCTTGCCTGTAGTCCCAGCTACTTGGGAGGCTGAGGCAGCAAAATCACTTGAACCCGGGAAGCGGAGGTTGCAGTGAGCAGAGATCATGCCACTGCATTCCAGCTTAGTGACAGAGCAAGACTCTGTCTCAAAAAACAATTTTTTTAAAAAATAAAATAAAAGCTAGTATAAGACACATAAGAAAGAAAAGCACATGCATATATATTTTAAAAATAGGAAACAGACTCACAGAAAAGCTAAAAAGCAATCATTCCAATCTATAATATTGATAATTTAATATTTTTCCAAAATAGAATCAGTATATGAGAAATCTGGAAATGATTTCTAATGAATAAAACAACTAGAAAGATTTATTCTAGATAAAACTATCTTTAATGTCTGGAAAGAAATAATAGAATTATTCCATGTTCTTGAGCGGACAGGACCAAAATGAACCTTCAGAAATGAGAGAAAAATAATTTCAGTTTATTTTAAGGGGAAGGAAAAACTGTATACAACTAAAGCTGTCCAATAATGAATGTGGCTTCCTTGAAAATACCTTATATAAGTTCCATCCTTTCCTTGAAAATACCTTATATAAGTTCCATCCTTTCCACGATGGCACAACTATCAGGGATTCTTATGTCCAGGGAAAAGGTGGACTCTAAGTTTCTTCTCATTCTGAGTTTTTAGCATATTTTGAAATTTGATATACTAGAAAAACATTTTTATTCTAGGCTACCTGTAGACAAAAATGGCAAACAGATAACTTAGATAATACATTACTTTGAATTATTTCAAACAAAAAATACAGAAAGTATGCAGAATTCAGGAAAGATCATAATAATAAATGGAAAAATTCAATGATGATAAAAACCCTGAGCTAATTAAGATACTGGAGACAGATAATGGCACATTTATCTAAATAATACATATAAGATTTATCCCAGGAAAGATAATCAGAATGATTATATGGAAAGAAAAATGTAGTGTAGAATAATTTAGTTATCACATTGTTTGTAAATTTCTGTCACACAAACAAAAGCCATGAAATTACAGGTTGACACCACAACAAAGTGGATAATTAATTGATTAAAGGGAAGGAATCCTATTTAAATTATTGAGAAGTCCATTTGCTTTAGTTTTAAGGTTTTAGACAATCTGAATCAGGCTTTTTTTCTCTTTCTAAAACCAGAATGCCAATGGATTGATAGAAAGGGAATAAAAGCAATATAAATGTGAACATTACTTTGTTCAGAATATTCTTGCCATCATAAGCAATGTATTTCTCACTACACTCAGACCTAGAGTGGAAATGAAGATTATTTTTAAAAGATTGCTTGTATATGTGGAATCAGAAAGAGGAGAATTAGTCAGAGAAGCCACCACTTAATGTTGTTAGGCTAAGGCCATCCCTTAGCACCCGTCACCATGACAGGTATAATCTTGCAACTGGACCCAAATTCTCAGGACCATGACCAAGGTTTCCTATATTCTGAGGCATTTTCGAACTGTCAAAAAATCAATTTAAAATAAACAAATTCATATTTATTATTTTTCATAAGAGTTGTGATTTTCAACTCACCTTGATTTTAAAAAGAAGTACTGCTCACATAGCTTTGATATTAAATGAACTGAAACAGTGAGAAATCATTTACTTCCTAGCCTGTCCTGGAAAAGGTACACTTTAAATTTTTAACAGTTTTACTGAAGCACAATTGATGTACAATAAAATTCCCACAGAGTATATAATTTTATGTTTTTTTAATTCCATGGAAGAAAATGTTCGAACCTTGGTAAGTTTTGACATATGTATATACCTGTCAAACCACTGCCACAATCAAGATAATGAACATACTCATCACCTTCCAAAGTTTCCTATGTTCCTCCGTAACCTCTCCTGCCTCCCCCAATCCCAGTCCCCAGGCAATTGACATTCTGTTTTTTGTCACGTAGATTAGTTGGCATTTTCCGGAATTGGAATCATACAGAATATATTCTATATTTTCTCGCTTCTTTCACTCAGTGTAATTATTTTGAGATTCATCCATTTGCAAGTGTATAAACAAACCATTCCTTTTATTAAAGAGATGAGGTCTTGCTACATTGCCCAGGCTGACCTCAAACTCCTGGGCTCAAGTAATCACCCAACCCCACACCCTCCTCAGCAACTGTGACTACTGGTGCACTATTGCACCTGTCTTACATAAATTCCTTTTCATTGCTAAGGAGTATTCCATTTGTATGAATAAACCATAATTTGTTTAACCACTTACTTACTGACAGATATTTGGGTTATTTCCAGTTTTCAGTTACTACAAATGAAGTTGTCATGAACATTCCTGTACACGTTTTTGTATGGATGTATGTTTTCATTTCCCTTGGTAATTACCCAGGAGTGGAATGCAAAGATCAGACAGTGGTTAATGTTTAACTTTTTAAGAAATTACCCATTTTCCAAAGTTTTTGTACCATTTTACATTTCCCCTTGCAGCATATGAAAGCTCCAGTTCCTCTAAGTCTTTATCAGCACTTGGTGTTATCAGTCTCTTTATTTTTAGCTGTTCTTGGGGAGTATATAGTGGTATTTCATTGATGTTTTAATTTGCATTTCCCTAAAGACTAAAGATGCTGGTAGTCTTTTCATGTGCTAATTTGCCACCTACACATCTTCTCTGGTGAACTGTCTGTTCAAATTTTTTGCCCATTTTTAATGAGGTTGTTTGTTTTCTTGAGTTTGAAGAATTCTTAATGTATTCTGGATACCGGTCCTTTAGCAGACATATGATTTAAAATTTATCCCAGCCTGTGACTTGTCTTTTCATTCTCTTAGCAGTTTTAAAGAGCAGAAATATTTAACTTGGATGAAGTCAAATTTATTAATGTTTCCTTTTATGGATTGCACTTTTTATGTCATATCTAAGAAGTGTCTACCTAAACCAAGCTCACAACAGTTTTCCTTTATGTTTCCTTCCAGAAGTTTTAAAGTTTTAAGTATTACATTTAGGCCTATAATCAATTTTCAATGAATTTTTCTATATGGTATAAAGCATTTCTTGAAGTTCATTTTTTTTCCATTTGGATAGCCAATGGTTCCAGCACCATTTGTTCAAAACTATCTTTACAAAAGATACTTTTTATGTTTGTCAAAAATCATTTGCATTGATTATTTGTCTATATTGACACCGACATCAAACTGCTTAATTACTGTAACTTAGAACGAAGTATTTTTCAAGACTTGTATTTCTTCAAATGTGATTTGGCTATACTAGGTCCTCTGCATTTCCATAATGAATTTTAGACCCAGGTTGTCAATTTCTAAAGAAAAAAAAATGCCTGCTAGAAATGTGATTGTGTCGAATCTACTGTTCAATTTCACAAGAAATCACAGCTTAACTATATAGCACAGTTTCCTCACTCTGGGCTTACCAATACTCAACTGAATACCTCTGCACATCTCTGGACTTCGCTCTGTGTGCCACTCTCCTCACCGACACTCTGGCCTGCAAACTCCAGCTGTCTTGGTCTTGTTAGACTCTCATTTCCACCTCCTCAACTGCATCTGGGTTTTGCAGCCTGGAAACGCTCTCAAGGCAGTAAGCCTTGGCAATCATAGGGATCACCTCATTTATTTTTCTGCCTCTCAAAGATCATTGTCCTTCACTTCCAGATATCCAATGTCTTCACATCTGTTCTTTCATATATTTTGCCCATTGTTAAAATTGTTTCAGGCAGGAAAGTAGATCTGGTCCCTCTTATTCCATCTTCTTTGGAAGTGGAATCTTTATTTTTAATTTTTAATGTCAAATCTCTTCTCAAAGTTATATAATTCAAGTAAAAACAGGACAAAAACCTAACTAGTAACTAGTATAATGTGGACCACTGTTCACTTATTTGCTCTTTAACCCATTTTATCCCTCAAATATTTGCGGAGTTCTAATAGCAAGTACTGAGAATCAAAGCCAGCATGTCCCTTACTCTCAGAGCTTACAATCTAGTGTGACAGATAGACATTAATCAAATAATTATAAACAAAAATGTAATACTGCAACTGTAATATCTGCTATGAAGGAAAAGCAGAGAATAATGCTCTGAGACCTATGAGAGGATAATTTTATGGTATTTGTTTCTATTGAGCCTACATTCATGAGTTCAAAAATATCATTACTGTTTCTTCATGTTAAAGTCACAAAGAAATAAATTACATATACAGTGGAGAAAAAAGTATCCATTCAATAAACTTCTCAATATATGATGTACCTACTAAGTGTAAGATAATATGCTTAGTGCATGATACTATAGATCCTACGTTAAACTTCAGTTTTAATTGGGCACATAAAATCAATATAAAGAAATATAAAGGTAACATATCTACATGCTATAAATAGAAAAGAAAATTTACCACATAAACATCATTTTGTCTATCCTCATTTTAAAAAATTATTTTTTTTACATCAGCCTAACTGCAGAAATGTGATCAGTTCCTTTGAGAAAACAATGCATTTATTTTATTTTGTTAAATCTTACCTAGATATCTCAGCTTGGGAATTTTTTTCTCCATCAACAGTGAAAGGAGATGCTCCAGTTAGTAATTCATACATCAGAACACCTAAACTCCACCAATCAACTGCCTAGAAAACAACAATTTAATTTTATAGAATTATCAACTAAAATATTTTATAAGAAAGAAAAAAATGAACAAAAGAAAGCTATCTATTAGAAAAATGTTTTAACATACCTCCTTCTATGTAAGTATTAACACATGCAAGAAAGACATTTAGAGACCAAATACCCAAGTATCCTCCACACAGAAAGCATGTTATTTCTTTTTTTATCTTGTTCTTTTTTTAATTAAAACTTTTTTAAATTTTGTTAATTATTTCTTAGACTAGTAACTGTTTCACCTTAACTTTAAAAAAATCTAAACTTGAATTTCAAAAATTTTACGTAGGTAACATCTTTGGGTTTATGATAGGAAACTAAGTATTCAGCTCCAGTGAGCCTTATGAAATGTCTAAAATTCAAAGAACAACAAAAAAGAAAAAAAATACCACATCCAAGTGTATGTTATTTTTTCCTAACTGCCTAAATCAATTTTTCTTATGGAACCTATCACACATAAACCTTAGGATCTTCACTGATGAAAAGATCTAAAATAATATAAAATAAAATGTGTTCTAATCTGGAAACCAATTTACAAATGCATTTACCTGAACTAAGAACATAGCAAATATATATAATTTTAAAAATCTTTTATTTGTTTTCTTTGAGATGGGGGTCTAACTATGTTGCCCAGGCTGGTCTCAAGCTCTTGGCTCAAGCAATCTACCCACCTCACCCTCCCAAAGTGCTGTGATTACAGGCGTGAGCTGCCATGCCCAGCTTAAAGAATCTTAATGTATTGAAAATTACTTCTTTTTTAATTAGGCAAATGAAAATTTTAATAATTTGAACACATGAGTGTACACCAATGAGAAATATTAACTAGATGTTAAAATTTCAAACTATCTGCTTCCAATTACCAGGGCCTAAGTTTAAGAGAGGTGACAAAATTTATGAGCCTAGAACTATTAAGAAAATACAGAGTGCTGACATATAAAACATATCAGACAGACTACAATCGGGAAAGAATTTACTGAACTCTGTCCCCATGCCAGGCATCTTGATGAGCACTTTGCATATGCTATCTCATTTAATAACTGTCACGTTTTTCCAGGTGTGGGAAGAAATATTTATTAATTAGCTATTTTCTGCACCTTAGGTATACAGAAATTCTAGGCATAATACAGGATTTTCTTATGTAAAACTGGTTCCATTAGGTCTCTGAAGATAATTTTCAAATTAACAGGTATAAATTCCTATCAAACTCCCCAAAAGCTTCATTGAATACCAAGAAGCTCAAAGAATACCAAGAAGCAAACTAAACCAGCAATTAAACTCTTCTATTATTTATATAAGCAGTTTCACTGCCATTTGAGTCAGAACCCTCAGCATGTTTTGCTGTTGGAGTCAAAACCACATTCTTCAGCTGACAAAGATCAATAATCAGACTGCCCTGGGTCCCAAAACCAACACCATACAAACTTGAAGAACATGCTTTTAAATATATGATTAGTCACCAGGAAGGAGACCAAAGATTCTCCACAGTCAGATATCTGAACTGTATATGTGGGACTCTGAAAGGGAATGAAGGAGAAGGAAAGATGGGGAACAGAAAATAGAATACCTTATTTGGATAAAGCTATTAATAAAACCGAAGTGTCAAAAAAAAAAAAAACGGAACAAATTTTGTACCCTTTAATACAGAAAAAAACCATGACCTAGACTTTATAACATAATTACTTAGAAAGCTTCTTCTAGAATTCTTCATTTTGCACATACAAAGGGAAGAGAGGAGGCCAAAATAAATTGAGCTTAGGAAAAGAAACTTAAACTATCTAGAACTCAGGATTTTTTCTTTTTCCAAGCATTGTTAAAATGTTGTATCTGTTGGAAAGATAATCTGTTGGAAAAATTATTTTTAAATGATCAATTATGTAGCTCATTTCTCCAGTGTCTCTGGAAAGTTAGAGACAAAAACTGGGAATAAGAAAATATGAGTGATTCCCTTTTCATTGACCTCTCAGTGACCTCTTAAAAAGCAAATAATTAATCAAAGGTGATACACACGACTATGTTTCTGAATGTTTTTCTAGCAGAAATTAAAAATGCCAATAAGTGCTGATCCAAACCATTCATCATTACTCAAACAGGAACAATGTGCAGTTTTACATTGAGAGACACTTTCGTATTGCATTGTGGTTCAGCTGTATGCTGAAAGATCAGGGTCTCATGCAAAAATAAATAAATAATTTTTAAAAAGAATGGAGTCATAGTTTGTACTCTGTTTAAGAAACAGGCTCTCTCAACAGAAATAAAATAAAAATTACTTAAATAATTAGTTTTGAGTTCTCAACTTTAACAACAGTATTACTTTATAAAACACAATTCTCAGCAATAAAACCTTTACACAGGGAAATCTAGAATGTCCCAACTTTTGTATTATCATTTTCTTCCAAAATACTAGATATCATAATGTGTTTAGAAATACAAAGCAAGGGCCGGGCACGGTTGCTCACACCTGTAATCCCAGCACTTTGGGAGGCCGAGGCGGGTGGATCACGAGGTCAAGAGATCGAGACCATCCTGGTCAATATGGTGAAACCCCGTCTCTACTAAAAATACAAAAAATTAGCTGGGCATGGTGGTGCGTGCCTGTAGTCCCAGCTACTCAGGAGGCTGAGGGAGGAGAATTGCCTGAACCCAGGAGGCGGAGGTTGCGGTGACCCAAGATCACGCCATTGCACTCCAGCCTGGGTAACAAGAGTGAAACTGTCTCAAAAAAAAAAAAAAAAAAAAAAGAAAGAAAGAAATACAAAGCAAAAGAGTAAAAAAAGGAAGGTAAGATAATCAACACCAGAAAGATGGCTCTGTTGAAGAGACAACCTAAGTTGTTAACTAGGATTCTTATAGTAAATTTTATAGGAATATATAAAGAAGCATCAAAAATAGAACATACCTTGTCATGTCCTGAATCTCCCCCTCTGACAATATCTGGTGCCATGTATTCAATAGTTCCACAAAAGGAATATGCTCTTTCAGTCTTGAACAAACAAACAAAAAAGGGATTTGATTTCAAGCTAGTACGACAAGTGACAAAAGAAGAAAGTTGATAATACACGTTAGTGGTTGAGATACACTATAGCAGCAAAGTAGTGGTAGAATCTACCTGACAGACCTTCTCTTCATCAGAACAGACCACCACCTATATAATATGAGTCCTGGGTATATCAGAAAGACTTCCATGCATGAAATCCATCCACCATCCATCCATCCATCCATCCATCCTTTCCATGAATCCCTTCATTTATTCTTGTTCACTTATTGTATGCATGTATATTTCAGTTGTTGATTTATTTAGCCATTTTTTTTAAAGAATGCAAATAATCCTAGTAAGGCAACATGAACTGTCAGACACATTGGTGTAAATGACTTTATCAGTCAAGATTGAGAAAACACTGGGAAACTTCAAGGGGGAGGAAAGACCAAACTCTAAGAAGGGGAAATAAACCCAAAGATTAAAAAAAGAATAATTTTTTTTTCTACCTTACCATATTGTGTAGGTTTGACAATGCTAATGATATGTTTAATGATGGTGAACAAAATTGTCTTTAAAAAAAAGATTATTTCTTAAAGGTAGATGTTTCTTTTTTATAGAATTTCAAAAATTCAAAAGGGCTACTATATCATGCCTGAAAGTTAACCTAAAAAATTATTTTTAAATGACCAATTATGCAATTACGTAGCTCATTTCTTCATTGTCTCAACTTAGAGGAAGCTCACAACCACCCCAAGTTAAGTGCTTAAAAGATATTTCTTCTACCTTTTCCATGTAATTTTTGGCCTCTCTTATAATTCATTTTAGCGTATCTGGTGCTTTGGGGAAGAAGCTGATAGGGTATACATTAATATTTATTTTATAGAAATTCCAGAAGATAGAAAAATTAAAGCTTAAGTGTTGAGAAGTTTCAATCACTGAGAATAGTAGTAAACAAAGACAAACATTGCTTAATTCTCTCAATTATTTTAAAACCTTGTCATCTTATCCAGTTCCAAATCTATATTTGCTTCCTCCTGTGTTATGCCCTCTGGGTTCTAACTTTTAGGTCTCTGCCTAAACTTCCTGAGAGTTTATCTTCTATTTGTAAAAATATCACCAATTGTAACTTTTGAATTTGTAATTATCTGCTGTAAAGATGCATCTTATCTAGAGTGTATACCAAACGCCTTAAAATAATTCTACCAAGAAGACAAACTGATGAGATTTGACAGGGGAAAGATGCACCCTAAAACATATTCCAGGCCAGGCATGGTGGCTCACGCCTATAATCCCAGCACTTTCGGAGGCTGAGGTGGGCAAATCATGAAGTCAGGAGTTCAAAACCAGCCTGACCAACACAGTGAAACCCTGTCTCTACTAAAAATACAAAAATTAGCCAGGCGTGGTGGTGCAAGCCTGTAATCCCATCTACTCAGGAGGCTGAGGCAGGAGAATCACTTGAACCTGGGAGTTGGAGTTTACAGTGAGCAGAGATCATGCCACTGCCCTCCAGCCTGGGTGACAGAGCAAGACTCCATCTCAAAAACAAACAAACAAACAACAAAAAAACATATTCCAGAGTCTCTGATAGGGGCAGGAAAGACTTCAAGGTAATAATTCTACTATAATTATGGTTTATTATTTGTTCAAAGTACAGTAATTTTCTCAAGGAGACAACCTATGTGACTTTTATGACCATACTATTTTATAAGCAACATTAGTTGTCACAGAGTTTAAAAATTGTAAATGAAAATTTACTTGATTATGAACAAAAACAGCAGGAGTGGGATGTGTGCAACATACTAGCAGATAATATGAAATATTCATGTGTCTTAAGTGATTAGCCAATCAAGGAGGCTTCGTTGCTCTTTAGAGAAAAGGATCAGATAATACTGGATAAAAAACTGGTTTCCTTCTAAGGAAGAATCCCAACAGCAACTCAAATGCCGAACTGAAGTATTTCTCAATAAAGACAGATGAAATCATTTCTAGCTTTCATTTGCCAGTGTTTTATCCTAATCATATCTGCTTGTGACAGATAAATTCCAGTGCAAAATTACCAACGAAAACAGTTTTTTTTTTCCCATCCCATATTTGGAAAGACTGTTAATTTTGGCAAATCTCCACACAAAAATCTAGAAACGTTTGTTTTTTTAAAAAAAAAATTACATATTCCATAGGTAAACACCAAAGACCATGCTCACAAGAAAGAAAGGGGAACTCCTGAGTTCCAGCCAGGAAGTAGGTACAGAAAACCAGAGAGGTAGGCATATGACCTAATGCTGTGGCTACACAAAGGGAGGAAATGTGAGTTGTTACAGGTCTCAGCAATGCAGAAACTTGAGTTTTCATACCCTGTGAAGATAAAAGATGAGGCTCTCAGCTCAAATGAGATGAGCTAGAATTACCACTCCCGTATAACCCTGAAACCAAAGAAAGCTAAATCTCAGTGAAGGCAAACTATAGAAAAATAAATTTACCTGCTAGCACTCATCTGTTTCCATCTAGGCCCTAGCTTAACAAAGTTCTTCCTGTGATCTCAAATGCCTAGGCTTATACTTCCTAGATTTGAGATCTGAATTAACTCTTCTGAATCATATGGAGAAGTAGGGAAATCTGGAAATCTGGCAAAACATGATGACACCCTGGGACAAATAATAGAACCAGAGACGTTCTCACAACTTAGACTGCCCAGAATTCCTGCGAAGCCCTGATGTCTTGATATTACCAAGTGAGTGAACTAGATTCCACGGACACAACAAACAGAAGGATTACTTGGAACAATAGAAAAACAATCTGTAAATTGCCAGTATGCTGTTTGTAAAAAATAAAAGACATAAAAGAAGACAGCCTGGGCAAGATGGAAAAATCCTATCTCTAAAAAAATTAAAAAAAAAAATTAGGGCATGGTGGCTCATGCCTCTAGTCCCAGCTACTTGGGAAACTGAGGCAAGAGGATTATCTGAGCACAGGAGGTCGAAGGTGCAGTGAGCCATGATCACCACTGCACTCCAGCCTGGGCAACAGAATGAGATCCTCTCTCAAAAAAAAGGGGAGGGGGAGAGGAAGAGCAGGAGGAGGAGGAAGAAGAGGAAGAAGGAAGAAGGAAGAAGAAGAAGAAATAATCTGTTTAAAAAAAGCAGTATAGAAGAGATTAGAAAGATATGAAAAAGACTCAAATAGAGCTGTGCAAATACAGAAATGAGGCAATAAAAAAGGCAAACTAAACATATTAGACACAGCTAAAGAAAGAAAGTAAATTAGAGGATACTTCTGTAATATCCGGGATAATTTTCTCAAGATTTAGTAAAATTGCTGGGCATGGTGGCTCAAATCTGTAATCCCAGCATTCTGGGAGGCCAAGGTGGGCAGATCACTTGAGATCAGGAGTTGGAGAACAGCCTGGCCAACATCATTCAAACCCTGCCTCTACCAAAAATGCATGGTGGTGCATGCCTGCAGTCCTAGCTACTTGGGAGGCTGAGACAGGAGGACTGCTTAAACCTGGGAGGTGGAGGTTGCAGTGAGCAGAGATAGCACCACTGCACTCCAGCCTGGGCCACAGAGTGAGACTCTGTCTCAAAAAAAAAAAAAGACTTAGCAAATTTGAGAAAATTATCCAGAATGTTCCAAAAGTCCTAAGCAGATTAAATAAAAATATATTCACAAGTGGCCACATCTGTGTGTGTGTGTGTGTGTGTGTGCGCGCGCGCTCACAGGTCCATTCCTAAATCTACTCATATGCAGCAGGTAAATTATCAGTTAATATGCAGGGCAAAATAAAGCATTTTAAGACAAAGACAGAATTTATTAATCATTGATCCTTGCTAAAAAGAAATCTAAAGTATGTATTTCAGAAAGAAATAAACTGAAGTTGGAAGGAAAAATTCAGATGCAAGAAGCAAGAATAAGCAGAGAAAATATATGTGTAAGAAAATGTAAACCAGCATTGAATTTATAAAACTGCACAGTAATGATTAATATGTGGAAATTTAACAGGTAGGACTAAAATACTAAATAATATGAAAATTAGAATGAATAACTGAAGTTGAAGCATTCTAATGTTCTCGTAGTGGTCATGATCACCTTAGAGAGCACGAATAATTCTGGACTATTCACAAGTTTAAAATCAGGGTAATATTACAGAAATGCCTTATGTATAAAAATAAATAAAATCAGGGTAATAACCACTAAAAGAATAGAAATAGAATATACATGACTTCTAGACCATTAGGTGGACATGAAATAAAAAGATCTTAATCATTTATATAGAAGACAGAAAAAAAGGAAAAAAGAAGCAAAGAGGAACACAAAGCAAGATAAAAGAAATAAATAGAAATATATCAGTAAGCATAATATACAGGTATCGTAACTCACCAGTTAAAAGAAACTCCTGATCAAAAAATAAAATCCAGCTATAGGTTATTTACAAAAGCCACACCTAAAACATAATGACAAAGAAAGATTGAAAGTAAAGAGATGAAAAAAGTTGTATCGGACAGCACTAACCAACAGAAAGCTGAAGTATCTTTATTAATAGGAGGAGAAATGAACTTTAAGGCCAAATAATTATTAAAACTACCTACATTACAAAATAATAAAAGGAACATTTATTTCACTAGGCAATAACTCTATTCCAAGTTTGAATATCCTTAACATTTTTTGAAAAGCCTTAAAATATGTAAAATAAAAATGGAGAGATCTTCAAGGAGAAATGAACAAAGCCACAATCATCACAGGTATTTCAAAATATGGTTCTTACAACTCACAGATCAAGAAGGAAAAACATTAGTAAAGATATTCAAGATATGAATGATATTCATGAAAATATACAAAACCCTATATCCATCATCAATTAGAGAATACCCACACAGGCTTCCAGACATAAAATTCTAAATAAAATATTAGCAAATAAAATCTGGCAATGTTTAAAAATATATATATATATATTATATATATATATCATGGAAGGTAATGTTTGTTCCAGGAATTGAAAAATTGTC